ATACACAAATGAGTGTATAACAGTATAGCTTTGCTGAAAAGAAGTATTGTTTCAAATGGCTACCCCTTTCCAAGTGTCTCTAATGCAACAGAGATGCAGATTCGTTTGTCATGATACGAGACATACTACTTTATTATTATTTTCAATACATTTCAGTACATAAAAGAAATACTTTTTTATTTGCAAGCAAAATGGTCTAAGTGATTAGGCTTTTCCCTCTACAAGAAATATGAAATAAGAGATCATGCAGACATCAACTCAGTCTCCCTTCATCATTTTCTCTTTTTCTTGTTCCCTTCATGAGTGAAGTCTACATTATATTTTCCTTGGTGGAGAGGCCATTCTATTTCAATCTTATCCTTATATTTGTAGAAAGAATGTTTTTTTGATTGAAATCTTAGACCTCTAAAATACAGAAAAAAAAATGACATAAGAAGTTCTCTAGACAAGTCCTCTTCAAGAAACAGCACTTGTTAGTTTCTTAGCTTCCAAGGCATCCATTAAAAAGGTGATGGGTTGCTTGTGGTCAAGTAAAAAAAAGAAGACATTACCAGTGTCATGAAATAGGAAGAGGTTAGCTTTGAAGGCACGCACTTGGACAAAATTTTAAAGTAGTTAATGTTATATATCTTTTCTTTTTTTTTTTTTTTGAAATTTAGGCCTATTAAGGCAAACTTACACACGCATCACATATGTAAGTTTCGAACCCACGAGGTTTTGGTTGATAGTCAAAGCTCTCAATTAACATATTAAGATGAACTATATATAAATCAAATTAAATAAATAATTTTTTTTCTTAAAATAATTTTAATGTAGGTATAATCGCCAATTTAACTGGCGACTGGCGCCTCTATTTTGCCGGAGAGAAAAGAGAAGAAGCAAGCGGTTTAAAAAGTTTTTTTTTTTTTTCTTTCTTAGGTTTGTTCGGTCGGAGAGAAGGTACCACTAAATGACCTTTTTTTTTAATTTTTGTTAATGCTTTAAGTGCAATTACATTTTTACAAATTTTTTAGTGAATAATTTAGAAAAAGGATTGTAAGCTAGTTGGCCAAGCTGGCGCCAGTTAGGGGTGTAAGTGAGCCGAGCCGGCTTGAGCTCAACTCATTTACGAGCTCGTGAATCGAGCTAATCGAGTCACGAGCTTGAGCTCAAACTCGAGCTCGAGTTCGAGCTTGATGAGGCTCAGCTCGACTCGTTTACACCCCTAGCGTCTGTTGCCGATTTGACAGGTGAAAATAACTAGACTATTTTTTTTTTTAATTTAAAATTATTTGGTTAATTTGATTTATAACGTTAACTACATTAAATATTTGTCTTTTCTAAAGCTAGTATGGAAAAAGGAAAAGCTTTATATCAAAAGAATATTTAATATAAGAGAAGGCACGAAGTGGATGAGGGAGCTTTCAGAACAATTCTCTCACGCACATCTTTGTATTTAGCTGAGATGAATAGACTGAAGAATCAGGGGAGTTGGAAAGGAATTGCAGATCACAAAAATCTAGGTGAGGAATGCATTATCCACATTATTTAGTGTCGGAGACTAAAGATTTATATGATTCCATGAAATTTTCCCATGTCCACAACCATATAAAGAGATGTTAATTCTACCAGATTAGCGATAAATATAATAAAATATTTGTTCATCAAAATACTTTTCACATTTTGATCACACCAAAATTCTTCCCTCACCTCTTTATTCTTTCTCCACAACTGATCAACAAGATTTGTCTACCACATGATTTCTCTACCGACTATGATCATCAGAGAAAGAGGAAAGCATATCACCTCCAATATTGCCCCACTTTTCCAATAACTAGCCTTTATGATAGATGATGATTTTCTCTAGTGAAGGCCTGTGATTTCTTACTATCATCTTCAACTTTTCATTGCTTGTTACGGCCACCAAATAAAGAAATCCCTATATATGACACCGATCAATTTAATTATCAACCACCAATGACTCCATGAACCACCTCTTTGGCGCCCTTCGACAATACACCTATTTGAATAAAGGAGAAGAATGAGAGATGTCCATCAATATCATCCAGCCATCTCCTTATAGAATGTTTAAAAGTGGAAGATCATAAAGTTGCAAAGAGGTTACACTGAGCTTTAGGTATTTTTAAGTAAAAATTTGCAAAGATGATTGCTACAATTTTTGAGAATACATGACATGGAAATTTAATATCCATTCAGATTTCATATCCTTTCTCATCAACTTCGACAATGACATGGAAATCTGTGAAATCCTTCAACAAACCTTATGTGATATACAGCTAATCCTAGGAAACTATGAACCTTTGTAATATTATTTGGTATACGTCATTCTAGAATTGCTTTCATCTTCTAAGGTTCCACTGAAATTCCTTCACCACTTATAATATGCCCCAAAAATATAATATTCCTCAACCAAAAATCACATTTTGAAACTTTGCATATAGTTGATTTTTTTCTTAATATCTTCAAAACTATTTTTAAATCATCAATATTTGAATATGTCAAAATGTCATTAATAAAAATAATTACAAACTAATCTATATAATTTTTGAAAGCTCAATTCATCATATCCATAAAGATAGCATGAGTATTTATCAAATCAAAAGGCATCACTAAAAATTCAAAATGGTCATATCTTGTTCCCAAAGTTGTCGTAACTATATCTACTTTGATGAGGACATCAGCAGGAGATTTCGGTGCGTCTATCATCGGAGGAATCGTAGATCGACGGTTATGATTCAGAGTCTTTATTTATGATACATTTATGTATTTTTTTTTATTTATGTTCTCATTTACCATTGTACCCCCCAGAGGGATTAGTTTATGTTGTAGCCCAAAGGGCATTTGAGTGTTTGTTTTTTCTTTTATTTTGAGGCCTATATATGAGGGCCCTCACTATTGTATGAGATGATGATTAATGAATGAAATTTCAGCCTTCTAATTCCCTTGAGCGTTGAGAGCTCTAGAGAAAGGAGAAGTCCTTAGGTGAGGGAAAAAGCAATACCCGTCAGCCGTCGGAAGAGTCCGGGCTCACAACCTACCTCCCCTTCCCTTTCCCCAACACTGGCCACCCTTCCCTTCCCCTCAAACTGACGGTCACCCCTCCCTTTTCTTTCAACCATGGGCCTCCTCCCCACCTCCACCCCAAACCGCCGGCCTAATCCCTCCTCCTCCCCATCAAACTGCCAGCCTCTTCCCCCTCTCTCTCTCTCTCTCTCTCTCTCCCTTTCTTAATTAAATCCCCTTTCCCCTCTTGCTCTCAATCAAATCCCTCCCATCAAGGTGCCGCTCCAACATAGCCCCCAAATTTGAGAAGATTCAAATTCAAATTATTTTCTCCTTTCCAATCCTAAAATATGAAATTAAATTTTAGATTTTCGAATTTATTCTTGCTGCCTTCCCTAACCCTAAAATCTAAAGTGAGAAGGGCCCTCTCCTAGCTTTGGCCGAAACCCTCCAAGCCCTACCTCCTCCATTACTTCTCTTCTCCCTAACTTCATACACCATCCAAGGAAGAAGATACACAACCCCAACCTACTCCTCATGAATGGCCGATCCTGAAAGAGACAATGGATTCGTATATGATCATCAAGTACATGTAGATGTGTTGAGATCACCCTTCTTCGACCTTCTTGGAAATCGACCACACCGTCGACGACTGCGTCGACCAGATCCTCTTCACTTTGAAGACCGCCATTGACGAGCACCAAATCTCCGGACAGTGGCGAATTATTCAACATCCACATACTCCTTCCCCTTCGGCAAGGTTTTCATTGGGCAATACCGAAAGCGTCTTGTATCTTTTGGTGGCATATTTAAGTTTGCTGAAATTATTCTTCTGTTAAAACAACCCTCAAGAGTGAGAGTGAGAGAAACTCAAGGTGAACTTTCTATTTATTAACCGATGGATTTTTGTTACTTATGCACCTAGCTTTACTAAAAAATTGTTGTCATTTTAAATTGCCCCTTTCTAATCTAGTTTGTAATTGTATGCCAAAGCACAACAACAACTAAGAAATCCTAGAATCTAATATTGTGAAACATTAATTTTAAAATTAGCAAGCTTAACGAATTTTTATTAAACTCATGCAATTCCCTTTATGTTTGACATCATGCTTACTTTACTCTAGCTTAATGATATGTGGATCTCAAATCAATTCTAGAGAAGACGACAGTACCAGCAAATTGATCAAACAATTCATCCATACCTGGTAGTGGATACTTGTTCATAATTATCATTTTTTTCAACTCCCTGTAATCAATACACAACCTCATAGATCTATCTTTCTTCTTAACAAAGAGCACCAGTGCACTCCATGGAGAATTACTTGGCCTGATGAATCCTTTCTCCATCAACTCCTACAACTGAGATTTCAACTCCTACAATTTTATTGGTGTTGTTCTGTAAGGAGATCTATATATTGTTGATCTACATGGCTACAATTCAACTTCTCTTTCTGGTGTAACCTGGGTAATTCTTCAGGGAATACATTAGAAAATTTTGTTACAACTGGAATATTCTTTAATGCATGCACATCTTTATTTAACACTTCTATTCTAGCCAAGAACATAGTTGCACCACTTCTCAAATATTTACCCATCTTTATTGTACTAACTAGAGAAGATATAATATTCTGATCACAAGAAAAGTAAAATGACTTCTTATTAGGCAAAATAAATTTATTTGTTTTCTTCCAAAATTCATTTGTGGTAAAGTATTTAACTAATCAGTCATTCACAATATAATGTCAAAAGTATGAATAAGCACTAAAATCAGCTCTGCTATCAATTTTCTACCTTGAATATCATTATCCTATTGGCATACAAGCTATATCCCGATGGCATCATAATGCATAAAATGGATTAAAAACATACATTCTGAACTGGTAAGTCAGCATAAAATTCTTCAAAAATTAAGGACTGAGATGCAACTTAATCAAATAAAACCCGGCCAAATTTGCCAGAAATCAGAAGCATATATGTGACTACCTCATCTGAATCTTTGGCTTCTTGAGGTGTGATAGCAAATACTCTAGCTTACACATGTTGATTACTTTTAACATCTAATATTTTTGCCTTCAGTTGAACAGATGGCTTCCCCTAAAATTGATTTTTTTCTACCTTATTTCGTTCCAAATATCTTCTTTATTGACCCTGCTCCTGATATCCCTGTGGTCTTGTATTGCTTCTTTTCTTTAGAGGGCAGTCCATCTTATAAGGTCCCAATTCTCCACATCTGTCACATTTTCCAGAACCAATTAGACACTGACCAAAATGCCTTTTCCCACATTTAGCACAAACAGGTTTCTCAAATTGAATTTGTTTCTGTTGTTGTCCAAATGAGCGTCTTATTTCTAAACCTATCAACCTTTTAAAAAATCTTTTGTTTGCCTATTTGTTGTTCCCAACTTTGATTAGAAAATTTTAGTTCATTTTTATTTATTCTTGCTCTCTCCACTAAATTTGAGAATTCATTTATATCAAAGGGTGCTAATGATAATCTCAATTGATCTCTGAGGCCTCTAAAAAATATGACATTTTCTTCTTGAGTGCTGACATAATGAGGAGCATACTGAGATAGAGAGGTGAACTCTCGTCGTACTGTATATCCCTCTATATCCTAGTGATAGACATCAAGCCAAATTTTTCTCTATGTTGTGTTTTCCACCATCTTTTTTCCTGGCCTTTCAGTACAAAAGTAGCCTGCACCACTTTTCTATCATCTGGACAAATTATACTATCCAAAAAACTTTCAATCTTTAATAACCAATCTTCAGTTACAACTGAATCACTTGCTCTCTTGAATGATATTGGCTTAAAAGTCTGAAATAATTTTAGATGCTAATCCAGCTTACTTCCAAACTTAGGTATGGACCCACTGTTTGAGGATGGTTTCTCTATAGATGCATTTTATCAACTACTTAGGATATCAAATTAACAATATCATGAAACTCTTTAGACTTAGCCTCCTCATTAATTTTACTATGAATTCCACTTCTATTAAAGTTACTTTTTAGTTTTCCTTTCTGCCTCTGTACCTAGCCTGAATGACTGATCATTCATTCTTTCTAGAAATTCTTCAGGCATTTTTATCTGTAGAGATATATAATTTATTGAATACAAGTGATCGTTTTAAAGATTGAATCATATCATCTATAAATTCTTATTCAGCTCTACTAAAATGAATGCAAAATGCAATCAATCTATAGCTCTGTATAAATAAAATTATTTTAATCTCATCCTACTTCATTTTTAAATATAATTATGCTTCCATTATAGATTTCAATGTAAACCTTAGTTCTGATACCAATTTCTATCATACCTCATTTCGACCGCCTTAGTCAACCTAAGGTGTAATAAAGACGGATGATCCAGTTAAATATAATTTCCACGAACACACGCCCTGAACTACTCTTATCAGGATCAAATTAGTAGAAATTTAATCTGCATAGACTATCGCAACAACAACAACAACAACAACAACATCAAGCCTTTATCCCACTACTCTTAATCTGCATAGACTATCGCAAAAAAAAAAAAAAAAAATCCTAATCAAATTAGTAGAAATTTAATCTGCATAGACTATCGCAACAACAACAACAACAACAAAAAAAAAAAAAAATCCTAGTCAATTCCAACTATTGGATTAAACCTCATGTTTTCAAGTATTTGGAAGCATATTCAATATTCATCAATACAAACTACAGAGCCTTGCAAAAAAAAATCAAAGAAAAACTCACATACTCAAAATCTTTAATTTACATCTTGCTAATCGGCCTTCTATCTATACCCAAAAACACTGTGCATTGAAAAAGCTATATACAAAGTGCAGCTCAACCTCCTACCTAAAGCCAGTTGGCTCATTACCCTTTCGTGCAACATAAATCAACTAGTGAGCCAAAACTCAATGAAACAAACAATTGTAGTACAAGATTCAATATACAAGGTTAAGAAGTAATTAATATGCGTATAGATCTTTTGTGCTAATAAGAGAATTATAACTATAGTTTGAAGAAATAAAGCCATAAAAGAAAAATATACATGTATAAGCTTGAAAGCATAAATTGTATCTCTTTTTTAAAAATATAATCAATGCAAAATAATATACAATTATTGTATGCAATTTTCTTTGGAGGTTCTCTCATTTAATTCTTATTATATTTATGTTCAGTATTTTAGAAAAGTCATATAATATTTATAGACTTTTGTACATTCATAATAGGTCATCACCTAGCCCGTCGGCTAACCATTTAATAATGACCACTCCCTTAAGTAATAACTCAAATATGTTAAATAAATTTATTTGAAAAACATAAATTTTTTGAAATAGAGTGCTTTGGCACTGATCTGTTGATCGCTGCGGTGCTGGACTATGAATAATATTTATATATTTTTTATAAATATCTCTTCATCATCCCACACTCTCTCACTTGGTTGCTTGGACAGCAAGAAATTGTAAGAGAGAAATAAGAGAGAGGAAAGAAAAATGTCTTTGGATCATATTTGTTAGTCATACATGTTATAAATTATATTCTATTTATTATAAATGACTAATCTCTTACTTTTATTTTTAACGATTTTGATTTCTACGAATCTTATCTATCATAAATCTATCAAAATACATTATCTCTTGATTTTATAAGGTTTCACCATGTAAGTTTGGATATATTATAGATTTAATCATTCTGAACGATTTGATATAATTTTATTGCATTTTAAATAAACTATTGAATGATATTAGATACATTATATGATACCCTACTGATCCACGTGATTCACTGATTGGGAGTCAAAAATACATTGAAATTGATTGGGAGTTATAAGAGTCCGGACAATTGATTCACATGATTCAATGGAAGTTATAAATAGTACATTAACTGAAGTTATAAGGGGTGATTGATTAGGAGTCATAAGTGCATAAGCAAGATACTCTTAAGATACACTCATTAAAAATTTGAATATTAATACCGACACTACTACGAACACTGTATTGATATTGTGACAGACACTAATATTGTTTACTATCATTAACACTATTTAACGTTATTGATCATGATATTAACATTGTTACTGACATTAGTATTGTTGACTATTATTGATATTGTGATTAATGATGTAATGGATTTAGATGTGATGAAAAATAAAATAATAAATTAATACAGATAATCATTTCATAAATTGATGCGTATATTTTTTTATTTGATTTAAAATATATTATTCTCTTTTATCTTGCATTGATTTTAATTGTAAGATTTTAGTTACTTGCTAAACTATGTGCTTATTACGTGATTTTACATATTTTAAGGAAAGGATAAGGATCCTATGATATGAGACTCCAGACAAGACAAAAATATAATCATTTTTTTTTCGTTGTTCATTGATAAGCTCTAGTTAAATGGTTTAAATAAAAGACATATAATTCTTCTAATATAGATCATGGTTTGTGACACCTTCAAGGTTAGGCCCTAATGCACCAATTTTTTAGAAGAGAGAACCGGGTACCTCCTATCGACCCTATTAAGTCTTATCTCGGTAGGTTTTCGCCTTTCCTTATGCAGGTCATTGTTGCATATTCCCCATCACATGACTTTTCTCAAATGTTAATTATAAATTGTGTTCCTTTTATCTATAGTGACATATCAAACATGAAAGTTTAACTAATACAAATAAACATATCATAGCAAGTATCAATGATATAATTTGGTAGAAAATAATTATCATGAGTCTGAAACATCATATTTATGAAATAAACTTTTTATGGCAGATGATCATTAAACATATAATTTTTATTATCTTTGAAATGGGTTAAATTTCAAAATAAACCCGTAACTATTCACAAGTGGCTATTTTAGCCCCAGAATATAAAGTTGCATCAATTTAGTCCCTCGACTATACAAAATTGATCCAAAATGGAGACCATTTTGGATTAAATTGGAATCAATTTTATAAATTCGAGAGAATAAATTAGGATCAATTTTATATCACAATTACGACACAAGGGACTATTTTGGATTAATTTTGTATAGTTGATGGACTAAATCTGACCAACATGATACTCTAGGACTAAATTGACCATACATAAACAATTAAATAGTTTGAGGACTATTTTGAGATTTTTTTTTTTTGTTTTTGAAATTCTTATAATACGCCTATATGAAGAATTTCTATAAAATTGGACATGAATTTCTTGCTTTCTGTACTATAGATTGAGTATCTCACCTCATTCTCTAGGTTAAGAGGATGAAATTATTCTCTTAGGATATCCCGACCTCTTTTCCTTCTATAAGCAACCTGAATAAATCATAATTTTGTAATTTATAACAAATTCCTAACTTAGAAATCTAATCTATAACAATTTTTTAAGTCTATCCACTAGTTTAACAACCCTAATGCAAAAAATTAACACAAAAGAAAATAAATGGGATTCCTTACTCAAAACCCTAGCCGCCACCTCTTATTATGTTCCTTCCCTTTCTTCTTTTCCCTTTTATAATCTCTCTGTTTCAGTTGCTGCAACTCTCTTCCTTCTCACGGCCTGCTCCAGGGATGCTGCTACTTCGGCTCCAGAGACCTGTTACGAGAGAAGTATAGAAAAGAAAATAGAAATGGATGTAATACTTGGCCAATATATAAGTTATAATATACCTAATAATCATACAAATTAATTCAACCATTAGATTTCAAAGCAAGCCAATGCATGTGAGTTTAAGTGGAAACCGAAAAATCCATTGACAGCTACAACAATTTTAATAAATGAATAGTAAAGGAAAATTTTTATAAAAAAAATATAAATCAAAACTAATTTCAGAATTTTTGCATCCTTGCAAATTAACATTGTTGAACCCAGATCCTTGGATCAAAGGGTTGACCTAGTCAAATTGACCACGTCAGGCCCAAAGACCCCTCCCAATAAGTTCAGTGGGTCAAACTGAGTCTGTTGAGCCCAGACCCAGGCCCTGGGTCAACCTGAGTTGACCCGATTTGACCCAAATCTCCCCTACTTGATTTCAAACCCCTTTCAAAGCTTCTCAAGCTCAATTCTCACTTCCTTTGGACTCGACGGGTCAGACCCCACCCATTGGGATCTGACCTGTGCCCTGGGTCAACCTGGTAGACCAGGTCAACAAAAGTTGACCCATTTAGACCCTTTAAGCCCAAATAAATTTTAAACCCATTTGAACCTATCTTTGGCCCAATCCACTCACCCCTTGGGTCAATTTGACTAGGTGGACCAAGTCAAACTTTGACTTTGTCAACCCAAGTCCTCCTTGTGTCAATTTGACCTATTTTGGTCAAATTAAGCCCATTTAATGTATGAACCTCATTCCAAATCCTCTCTAATTCAAAACCACGGCTAATTCAACCTCAATTCCCTCCTAATTACCCTTTGATTCAATCTTAGCCGTCCATGTTAGCCCTAAGGCTTTAAATAGGAGTTTAGAGTTTCATGAGAGGGGATATTGCATTCTATTCTTTCCCTAAGCTTCTTAAGCCCGAACCCTCTCGTATGTGAGCTCCCCTAGCCTCCTTCTACTCTTCCCGACCTAGAGCCACCAGTCAAAGTTCTTCGGTGACGAGTTTCCGACGAACCGAGACTACAAACATTCCAAAGCGATTTCCCATTCATCCAAGGAGAATCAGGGCTCGAGTTCAACTAGAGAAAAATTCGTGGACAGTCTACAAATTCAGAGAGCCCAAGATCTACTGAATCTATCCATTGGATTGAGGTATAACCCTAACCCTAGTTAGAAACACCTAGATATAATTAGTGTTCAGGATATCGCGTTTTAGAACATGAAATTACCTCCCCAATAATGCTCTTCATGCATAAATACTGTGTTTAAAATTTCGTTGAGTTTGGTCCACCCGATCGAGATAAAAATCCAAAAAACCCTCTTAGGGCTCTGGTTCAGTTGTACATCCTCCGAGGAGCAATCTAGACCGTTGATCTTGTGATCAACAGTCGAAAATCCATCGTTCTGCGGTCTGGATAGACCGCAGAGCTAGATCTTGCGGATAGTTACTCCGTCCGGCACGATCTTGTCCATTGATTTGAAAACGCGCCGGATCGGATGGTCGCCAGCCTCGGCTGACATGGTTAATGAAGCCGTGTTTCGTGGTTTCATCATGGTGCAATCATTGCTCATGATTGCCGCTGTCGGCAATCATTGCCCGGGACTGCGGAGCAAGTCCCGAAGTGACGCGTGGCCCGCTGCCGCCACCATTTTAATTAAATCGTTTTAATTATTTTAAAATCCTTTTTTATTCATATTTCTTTAAAAATTAGTTTAAAATTCGTGGCCCGCTGCCGATACCATTTTAATTATTTTAAAATCCTTTTTTTATTCATATTTCTTTAAAAATTAGTTTAAAATTATTTATAAATCAAAAAAATACGTGTAATATGTTGAATTGTTCGTATATTTATCCTCTTTAATTTAAATTAAGAATATTATATATATTTTAAAATATTATTAAAACAGTAATTTAACTATTATTATTATTATTATTATTATGGTTTAATTATAATTACTTTCTAATTATCATTTTTTTAATCATAATTATGTTAATC